CCCAACATCATCTACATAAACACGTTTGTCTCATTCAATCTCACTAGTAATATGTTGACTTTGCCTTGCTTCACGGTTGCTCTCGCTCTCACATCCTCCATCTTCGGTGTTACTATTCCTGCAGTACCCTCTCGCCGCTCCGAGCAGCTTTGGGAGGGTTTGGAACACGAAGAAGTAGACCTAAGAGGTCTAACACCCTCTCGCCGCTCTGGGGAGCTTTGGTTGGGAGCAGAACATGAAGAGGTAGACGCGTCTAGCACTCTTGCACTGATATGAGGAAGGAGGTTTTCCCTTACATTGATGTTTGAGGTCAGTTCCTGCGCGAGCCTCACGAATCTAGTCCTGAAGTACTTCCTACAGTTATAACATGTCGTCCGTGGTTTGGTATCGGTTGATCACGAGCGAGGGGCTCCGTGCTGTTGTATATACAGCATGTGGGCAGCATGGTTCGACGGACAGGCTTCTGTTGACATTTCCGGCAACCCTCGTATAATTTTTTGTCACTTTCATTCTACAGTTGCGAGTACCCTATACTTATATCTATACTAGTATTGACATGGAACAAGAACGGACGAACTAGACGACGAGACTATTTACATAATATAACTGTATGTAAATCCGAACTGTCGCAGGTACTTTTGGGCCTCGTTGGCATGGATAGAATTCTCCATCATGGTTTTGAATGATCATGACTTAAATATGGTTTGATTTGTATATGTATCGTGTATCTGCTACGCAATTCGGAGTGCTGAAGCATTGAAACCTCGTGTGATCTCTTGATCGATGGCAAAGATATCTGAATTAAAGTTTGAAAGAAATTTCTCCAAGCTGGAGTACTTCAAGTTGAAGAGTCGTGGTCGAAATGGCAGTATGTTCAGACTCAGTCAGAAGCTCCTGCCTTATATATAGTAGAATTCTTGCTCACAAACAAAGCACGATAGTCCTGCTTTCCATACAGTCATGCATTCGGTAATACACCTCACATTTCAACCTCATTGAGCACTATTCTATTCAACATCCCTTGTAACTTGTTTTACATAAAAATTCGATTCCTGCAAAGTGGTTGCCTTGTGTACAGTGTCGTGAGTCAACACGCGAAACAAGTCTTACTAGTAATCATCATAGGTTCAGAGTCCCTGCGTACATCAAATGGTGAGTTGGACATGATCATATTTGGTACGAAATAAAGCTCACACGCCCAGTTACTACTAGTGGACTGGCTTTTTGCCTGGGTCCGGTTCTGGAGACTCCTCCTGCATACATTGTATGGTGAGTTTGACATGATCAGATTTGGTGTGAAATAAAGCTTACACGCCCAGTTACTACTACTGGCTTCTTGCCTGGGTCCGGTTCTGGAGACTTTTCCTACGTATATGTTATGGTGAGTTTTACACGTTCGGTGCGAAGCAAGGCTTACGGGCGCAGGTACTAAATAATTGGCCTATGCATATTGTAAGCTCAAGGTGAGATCTGACGCGAAGCCAGGCTTACTCGGGTCATGATAATGCCACGCTTGTCAATGGGAGCAGCATGGCGAGCAGCCTGCAGACATTGTATAACAATATGATAAAATTTGACGCGATGCGAGGCTTACTGGCACTCCAGCGTTGACAAGGGCCGTCAGGCCGAGGAGAACAACGAACGCAGTAGAGAGGTGGATAAACATGATGGTGAGTTGATTTCACTTGTAGAGAGGTTGTTGGCAATTGACAGGCTTGTTGATGCTGTCTGTTTTATACTCCACAGAAGACGACGTCAAGGACACATGATAGTACTAGTGATGAAACTGTTCAATGGTATTTGTCCAAAGGAATCAGATGTCGAAGCATAATGCATGTTCCGGGTCGATCCGACGATTGAATACTGTTCAAATTGCTGTAGGGATGCAAGATTCGTGACAGAGCCGGACCCTGAACACATTGCGGACTTTGCACTTTTGTTTCGATCAAGAAGCCTCGACTTCCAATTCAAATTTAGTGGGGAGGAGGCTTTACATTGTTCCTATCTGTCCTACCATGACTCACTGTCCAGCTGACTGAGGTCACGGTAATAGAAGTCATTAACAACTGCCGTTCCACCAGTCATAGCAGTGCACGACAAACGTTCAATGAGCGGTAGTATTACTTACCATCCCAGCGGGCATTAGTTACTAACCTTGTGTAATGTATGCAATCTACATATGCCGGCTCATCACATAGGCGTCGAGTAACATGTAGCGCTGCGAAGATTGTACGCTGGACAGCAAGCCCTGCAGAATGAAATAAATAATTTGAAATTGGCCTTGAAGGTTGCAAAATGACGTCCCCGCTACGGCAGTAATGATGGGATTTGTGGTGCCACGGTCGAAACAAAACTCCGCCGAGTCTTATTGCCAAATTATTTGGTGGAAAATGCACTCCTGTCCTACATTGCAATGTGTTGCGTCCTCAATTATAATGTATAATGGGTGGCTGTCGAGTCGACTTTGGTCCGGCACGCATGCCGACCGTCGTTGATTGGTATAATTTTTAACAGACAGGTTCATGTCTGATGGCCAGAAAGGTCCAGAGGGGTTCATTGCACGAGAAACTCCAAGTCAACCAAAAGATGATACACATGGGCCTCGCTAAGCCTCTGGCTTACTTATGTTATGGTTAACGTTCATGAATACTCGGTAACAAAGTGTTGACAAGTCTGACAATCGGTGCCAAGAAGTAGTTATATACACAATACAGGAAGCCAGCTACGAACATCTACGTATACCCAATATTAATCGCATCATAACACCCATCTCCCTTCAGCTTGCAACCCGGATGCCCACACTTTCTGCCAATCTGGATGAAGACAAGATAGACAAGTCGTTGTAGTACAAAAGTGCACCGGATGATCGGACACCTCGGCATCAACATCTTTCAACAAAAAATAATCCTCTTCAGCATCTTTGGACCCTTGTATCTCGGCGGGTACGCGGCGGCCCCTGAGCATGGAACCAGGGAGCGTCAACAGTTCCGCGTGTAATTTCAGTCCCATACTAGATTCGTATATATTGAACGGAAGCTTGACTTGGGGGAAAACCAAAGAGGCTCTTTCGAGTCTCCCGAAAGAATCCCACGGAACGTACTCCATCCACAGAGACTTTGAGATCCAACACCGCGGCTAGACCGACAAAGGATGTGTGAAGTCATCCTCATCGGGAGGGATGGCGATAAGGTGGGTGATGGATGCCAGGAAGGCTGATCCTGAGGCAAGCCTTGCCATGTCCCATGAATCACAGATGATCCTCGATAACGTTAATGTTTTTATGTTCCACGGAAGTGGCAAACATCCACGGTCTATGTTGTCGTCCATACGGCTCCATGCGAGCTCTACACAGAATGCCAGGAGGTCTAGACACGAGAACTCGATCGCTAGTGACGATGCGCCCAGGAGTACTGGAGCGATGAGCTCAAGGTCTGACACAGGCTCAGAGGTAAAGCGGCTGTAGACGTGAGCGTCTGAGGGACGCCCACCCCAACGCTCTCCAAACCAGATGTTGCGTATGTAAGGTGTGTACTCGAAACGGAGAGCAGGATATGTGTGAACGTATTCGTTCTGCATATGTAGAGCATGCAAGAAAGCTGGCATGTTACGAAAATCCAGTAATACCGTGTGCAACATTATAGGCAGTGCAACGTGCCTAAAAGCGCGGGAGACGAGACAAAGTTCACGAGCGGTCGAGTACAGATTCATCAGCTCATATTCCTCGTCTTGAGTAAAAGTGGGTTTTGCAGCATATTGTATGATGATGGCAACGATCTCGGCGGGAAGGTCGTTAAATGAAGCTCGGGGGGTAGTCTCCATGGTGGCTGAGTGATATGGAAAACCGGTCTGAACAAGCCCTCATTTAAACCTCGTGAACAATGGCAAAAGAAGTTGAACAGCAGTGGCCCGAGCCGCGTTAAAATATGTGTGGGTCCACAAGCTATGACAGTCCATACCAGAGTTGTTGTTCCATTTAGTCGCATAATGTGGTCTGCCTCTGTGGAAGTACTGGTTATCACTCGATGCAAATGTGGGACGAACCCTTGAGAATCTACGTACACGAACTCATTCACCGCATGGCACAACTCTTAAGTAGTAGTCGATTGTCGAGCTGGACTACTCCAGAGCAAATTCTACTGCTGCTTGATTAATGGAGCAACTGCGAAATCCTATTAATAAAAGAACACCCCCTACCAACAGCATCACTGGAACGATGAATCCACCCCGTTCGATTGACACATGGCTTGTATGTATCGTCACTGACTCCCAAGGAGGGAGGATTCTGGAGCGAGAGAGTTTGAGGGGTAGCAGAATGTTTGGTTTTTCAATGTGCGCCCAAATAAAGTCTATGGTTCTCCGACGTACGATTCACTATGCATCGACCCTCGCACGCATGCCTTATTCTGTGATACTTCTGCCTCGATCAGAGGTCCCAATGAGTAGAGCAGGCGCTGCTGAGGATTGTTGAGTCTCATCGTACTCAAGCGGACAGCTGAGAAGAAACAGAAAAAATGTGTTGATTTCGTACTAGAAAACGATTATGATCCACATTATCAGCCCGAATATCAAACATACGCAGTGATATCCCAAGAGCAATAGTCAGCATCCCAGCATGCGGGCAGCTAGCAATGTTTTTCTTTTCCTGCGAGCCATGAGTTTCAGATGGTTCGAGGCGCGCTTAACGTGGGAAGAATAGAATTTGGGGAGCAGGTAGAACACGAACTAGTAGAGTATGTGGCCATGGCAGAGATACATAACCTAGTCTGCGGGCGTCGTCCTCACTAGGGCGTGACATGGGTGGACCCGGGTGGCACCCGTACCCAATCCGCGGGTAGATGAAACTTCAGAGGCCTACCCGCACCCGTACGGGTAAGAGTATCACGGGTGCGGGTGAATCCATGGGTGGACCTGCAGGTGATATGGGTCACCCGCGGGTGAACTAGTATATGTTATGTAGAACTGTACATATGAGAACATATGTATGAAATATATGTAAAAAATCAATCAGAGTCAACATCAATTGTGTCACGGCGTGAGGAGTCCTCTTTTCCCTTCCCTTCTCCCTTCTCCTTTCCCATTTTCTTTCGCATGATTTTTGTAGCGATACTGAGATCGGGCATAAGGGGTGTATTGAACCAAGATCCGACGGCAACCTGTGCCTTGAAGGTCTGCGAGCTGATACCATGCTGAAGGTGGTTAACTTGCAGACGTCCACCAGAGAATGCCCGTTCGGCGTCAACTGAAGAAGCTGTACGAGTGTCAGCACTAGTGGTGGGTACAAGCCCTCGTGAGTTGTCATACCTGGTGCTGACAAAAAATCCAATGCCATTTGTGCTAGTCGAGGTCGAGTGGCACGAGCGTTCTCCCAATATTGCAGAACTCCACCTGCAGCATTGACCTCAGTCCTTGATACACGCGGGGACTCAAGGTAGGCTTCAATGGAGTCTGGGCAGGTGAAATTATCTTCTCTGTCCTCTTCGTCACTCAGGCTGTGGACAGCCCATTTACTAGAAGTGCGGCGGAGCTGCGAGACAGGTGGGTCTGGAGCCTTGGTTGGGACTGGTGGCACGAGTGTCGCATATGACTCAGTCCACCGCACACGAACAATGCGCTTAGCTTCCTCGCTATCGCTCTCGCGCCAATCTGGGTTCCGGTCGAACCGGTGAAACTTTTTATGAGGGCACATCACTAGTAGTATAGTAGCTCAACAATCAGTAGGGTGCTCACACTGGTCTACAGCTACTCGACACTCACCAATGGCAATTCGGTAAACCTCGTTGTCATCTGTCAGGGCATAATATTTGCCGACAACTTCGAGTGCTGCTTTGGCAGCAATGCGAATGACGGGCGGCGAATCATCACTTGCATTGTAAACACGGTCCAGAGCATGTTCAAGACTTTCAAGCATAGGGACGACTTTGTATATTAATGGTACCTCGGCTTGTGAGAAAACATTTGTAAGGTCGTTGAAAAGCTAGAGACTCATATCAGCGTCGAATCAATGACCTATAAAATGACCTGACCTCGAGAACAGGTACAAGATGCGTTGCAAGTTCCCACTGTGACTCCGTGAGTGCATAATCACTCATCTTGTCCTCAGACGTGGTAAATATTTTAACCTGTCGATGCCTCTAGTGAAATGACATGTAGCTACATTACTATGTCGTACGATTGAATAATACTAGAGACACTCACTTATAATCTCATCGTCAGTATTGCTCCAGATTCCTATGTCAGACTGCTCTGCTTTGGCACGGCTCCGCTTCTTTTTCGGAGACTCTAGAACAGGAACCGGAGATGCCGCCGGTCTTTTACAACTGCGTGTATTTGTTGCTGGCGAGTTGAAACTGCTCCTCGACATGGAGGATCGAGGTTAACTGACGAGAGACTCGGAGAGAGGGACCAGGCCACCAGGGTGACAACTAGCCGTGCAGCACACATCAAATTTAAACATCTCGAATAGATGTCGGTTGGCTCAGCGAGCTTGATTTTGACATCGGATAAGTGCAAGTAGGGAGGGTACAATATTCATCTGAAACTAATTTGTCACTTGGCACCGGTTCATACCTCTCATTGGGGTACTAGACCACCCGTGGGTACCCGTGGATACCCAACTTTAGCAAGTCCTCCCACCCGTACCCGTGCGGGTGAGCCACCCGTACCACCCACCACCCATACCACCCGACCCACGTTCCATCCGTGGGTGGCACCCGGATGGGTACCCGGGTAACCCTCACCCATGTCACGCCCTAGTCCTCACAAGTACAGAAAACCTTTAAATTATGCCATATATAAACATTGATGATCAAATCCATTTTCTCGTCGAGCGCTGGTCAGCTGAGTTTCAACTGTTGGCAGCGCCATTTGAAAAGTTAGAAAAGAAGTAATGCAATGCATTTATTTTCAAATACCGATTCAATGCACCTTCACGAATCCATGATTCAATCATCATAATAACTTAGGTAGAGTACCGTATTACATGTGCGATACAACAAATATAATTACTTCACCGCCATTGAGAGCGCATCGAGATTCAACAACATCAAGTACTGAGGGAGGGTATCGTTTGTCGGGGGTATCGTATGTTGTACAATCTCAATTACACCGTTATCACACACTGACCCTCGGCATGGTCAGAGATTGAGAAATTGTTCCTGCCGCACCATCAGCGTCAGCATCACAAGCAGTTTAAAGAAAGAAACCAAGATAAGCCAATAAACTCACTCCGTAACAAACTCCTTCAATGGCTTATCCAGCGTTTTATACCTGTTCTTCGATACAAGCACCGGAACTTCGATCGGATCAGCATCCTCGCGTTTAAGAAGGACATCAACGATCGCATCCGTCAGGTCGCTGAAGATTTCTGGGACAGTTTTGTTGGCAGTGGTGACTTTTACAGTGGACGATGAGTATTTGGGTGGGTCTTTGTTCATGGTAAGCATAAGTAGCGGCAACTAGATGGAAGATAATGGAATGTGAACGCACCAGCGAAGACCGTCCTTGAAATTCTTTCTTTTATGACACTCAGGCGGGCCTGAATCTTGGAAAGACCCCGTGCATCAGAGGAGCCCAATTTCTGACCGTGATTCCTCGAGTCGGGCCACTTCCTTGCGTAAGAAGGCATTGCGGTAAGTTTCAGCCTTTTCTTGGGCGGGAGTGAGACCGCTGGCTCTGGTTTGGAGGTTAAAGCTTTGGCTTAGTTCAAATTACTTGAATGGACACACCATACCTGTATCTTGGGTATCATCGCCTGCGACTTGGGTATCACCGCTGGCGAGGTTGGCATCTTTGCATGTGGCTTGGCCGACCGCGTCCCTGATTACCCTCCCCATCTTGTTCATTCTTTCTTGCTCTTGAATAGCTTCCCCTTTCTCTCGAGCACCTTCCTCTCGGTTCGGGCTATCCGCACATCGGGCGTGGTCCCCAGCGTTTGAAGTCTGAACGTTCTCTTGGTACCCTCAC